GGTCCCATTCCCCGAGAGCGTGTAGGCACTTCATACGTCCAATTTGTACCTCAGGGGCTCCAGGATCTGTTTCCGCTTTGCGTTCGTAGGCCACTAAAGCCTCCTGCCATCGACCAAGTCTCTCATACCATTCTTCGTGTTTTGTGACATCATACTGTTCCCGCGCAGTCAGGAGAGTGCCCCAAGCAGCGTCATGCTGCTGAAGTCGAGTGTTGATGGAAATCAGGGCCTCGATTATTGTGGGGGAAGATTCAGAGAAGAATTCCAGTTCCTTGTAGTGAAGCGCTTTCGCATATGCCATAAATTTCATCGCGTACTCGCCAAGAGTTCGATGTTCAATGGGCAAGGGTTTTTCTTCGTGTTCCATGAACTCGGCAAGATTAAGTAGCCTGTGTATTACCTCAGCAGGCGCTGTATTTGAGGTGATTGCGAACTCAATTGAACGGACAAGGTCTTCCTGCTCAAAGGGTTAGGTTTGAAGTAGCAATTGGGAGTCGAGCCAACCTGATATTGGTCATAAAGTTCACCCCAGCAAGATAAGAAAGCAGCATTGAATAGCTCCTTAGCGAGAGGTGAGTGTTGGTCTACAAGACTCATACAGGCTCGTAGGGCATGGGATGGTGATTCCTTCATGAATTCAACTCCTAGACGATGAATCCATTCGATCCAATCTTCTTTGGTGCTAACTTGAGACGTGTCCCACGCCTGCTTCAAATGCTGCTGGTTCACTGCCATCTTGGTAGCCTCAGCGGGGGCAGAAAATTCTGGGGGTTTGGATGTTTCACTAAGGCTGCGAATTTGTCAGATAGCAGCACTAAGATGCAATGCACGCTCACAGTGATTCGAGAACGCCCGTTTCTTGAGGTAGGCGCTCACCGTTGAGTAGTTTGGAAATGAGGTTCTCGTATTTAGGATGAGGGATATTATGGCGAAGCAAGCACTGGATCATGTTTAAAATCCTCCAAGTACCATTACAGGTACCACACACCTTGTTTATAGTCGGAACAAAGATGGCAAAATCGGATCCCAATTGAATGACAAGTGAGCAGAGTGTGTCCATTACAGCCATCCGCAGCTCATTGTTGGGGCCCTCCAAAACTCGTACCAAAGGATGTATAATGCGAGAGGCGTGGTCAGAGAAATTCACCCGCCTGGATAATCCATCAATAGTTTGAATGGCGCGTTTCCTCAACGGCGTGTTTCCGTCGGGACGTTCATAGGACTTGACTATGATAGGAATAACAAGGTGGAGGTATTCCTCGATATTCGTGCCAAATGTCAAGAACGCATCGAATATTTTGATTTGAGTATTCATCCTTTTTTCGCTTAGATCCCCGTCAAAGACCTTCAGAACCAAAGGGAGTATGGTTGGCAAGAAGGGTTTGAATTCGGCGTCTAGGGCCTTCCCGAGGGCTTCGATAAGTGAAACAATCGGTAGTTGAAGCGTGGCGTATTCCCATAGTTCCGTCACGAGCGTGAACACATCCGGCATGTAATTTCGAATATGCTGTTTGATGATACCAACCAAGATAGCCAGTTGCTGCAAATGAAATTCTTGTAAGCGGGCCGTAGATCCCCTTGTCACTGCCGCGAACGCAGGGATGATCTGGTTTGTGGGTCAGTGCAAAGAATTCAATATACAAATGCTCAAACCTGAGGAAGAAATGTGACACATTTCAGACCTTGAGTTTTGAAGATCGACATCACCGCCTCAATGACAGTATGGTGATGGCTTGTGAGAGACTGGTCCTTCAGGATGGCTAAGAGCGAGCTAATAACAACGGTCTGGAAGTAATCATCCGATGCTGCACTATTTTGGGTAACCGGAGCCTGGTTAGCGGCGGTCATAGCAGTTTCACTCGCCGCTTCTTCTTCAGGGCGGCTCTATTCTAATATGAGATTCGAATTGGTTGTTGGGAATCCTCTTACCTTCCGCCTATAGGGGTCCAGAGCACCAAGAATCCCGAGAACCTTAACAACTTCGCGCCGAACAATTTGGGACGCCTCAGTTCTGAGAATACGTCCGAGCAATGGAAGAAGTTGTGGATAATCGACAAGGGGGGCAACCACATATCCCGTACTAGAACAGACTTGACCCAATGTGTGCAGAGCAGCATCTCGCTTGATTAGGGCCGGGTCGGAGAGGCGTGATAGGATGACCTGCATCAATTCGGGCACATGGGGCATTGCATCTTCTCCACCTACGCAAGCAAGTTCTCCTAAGCACATCAGGACGTTAGCTGCGACAGTGGGATTGCTGTCGTTAGCCTTCTGCAAGAGTACGCGAAGCATAGGGAGTGCATATGGTTTAATAAGCCGTTGAGTAGCACCGACAAGGAGGGTGAGTAGGCGAGTACATTCCTCCCGGTTACGCCTTCAACACGATTAGCGACTAGCTAATGTGTAAACAAAATACCAACATCACCGTCGAGTATTCCAGCTCCGTGAGTAGTTGAATCAATGCTTTTCGAAGAGAAGGCATGACATAAGCTGGGTTATGTTTCGCAAGACGACCGATTAAACCAACAGCCGTAACTCGATTCTCAAATACTTCATCATTTAATGCAATGAAAAGTGAACGAACGTTCTCAGCCTGTGCTAGATGTTTGTCAAACCGTTCATGAAGGGATGATAACACTGTTTGGCGTATGCTCGGGTCTGGTGTTGAGAGAAAAGAAAAGTTAGGGACACAAATATGTGGGCAAGCTGGGCATACCTGGATCCGCGATACCAACGGTCAGCAGTTTGTCGAGTACATCACTAATAATTTCGATTGCATGACTGCTAGCCTGATAGCAGATGGGGTCTCGAACAAAAAGGCGGCAACAGGTTAAAGCGGCCGCGCGGCGAACTTCAATGTTGTCATCCTCAAGGTACGGAAGGGCACAGTTACGAACAAACTCATTCAATACATGCCCTGTCATGCGAATGAATACAAATAATACAACCATAAAATAGACCCACCGGTGAAATCGAATGAACCCAACGTTGTCAGTGCCAGGGTGATCAACTCAGGATTTGTTTCATTGGTTGCGAGCTGTTTAGAGCCAGATAAGATATAGGGATAATAACAAATTCTACTGGAGTGGAGTAGATATCCCACCTGAGTCGTGTTCACTTCCCGGTTCATGGGGCCCACATCATTGCGACTAAGTGAATTAGGTGCACCAAGAGGCTTGTATGGCTGCCCACTCAGTATAACGGAGAGGAGGTCAAGGAGGCGATCTATGAACTATGTGAGGGGGAGGGTCATCCGGGCTCGGGAAACATACCTTGAATTGTTTTGAGAAGAGGGGAATATATCGCGCTATCGCAACCAGTGCCTGTCTAAGTGGTTCGCTCAATCCACAAGCCAGCATGAGATCAAGTTGTTCATGTAGCAACTTCGTCAGGTTCGGACCAACAGCAGAAGCAAGCATCCCGATGCATTGAAATATTGGTTCCTCAGAGGGAGCATTCTTTCGCCTGGAGCCGAAGTCAGAGGGTAGTAACAGAATGCGAATCGAACACACCCTCGTCCTTGTAAACCCTGCTTGATGAACGACATGATCGGGTCCAAAAACTGTTTCATATCGCTCCCAACAGCAGTAGCGGTGTGTCCAATAGCGATGAAGGCTGAAAGTGGGATTATGATTGATGGATTATAGAAAAATGACCAAACAAACCGAATGAACGTTCATTAGGTTTTTCGAGCTGTGCAAGGAGATGTGCCATGGCCTTGTGGAGAAAATGTTCGGTAAAGGTTTGCGTATCATATGCAGCAAGGGACGGAATCATGGTTATAACCATTTTACGGACAAGCAAATCGCGATGGGCCCGGAAGCGGAGAATTTGGTCGGCGGTATCTAAGAATGTCTCCCGCATAAACTAAATAGCAAGAGTTAGCCTAGATAGAAGAAGGATTAAAAAACCAAACCATTCCCGCATGAAGGAGAAGCTCGCGGTAAGTGAGAAGAGAGCCATGAATAATTTCAGGCTGAGATTGTTTCAAACCCATTTGAGCGTCTTGTAGAATCTTAAACAAATAAGGGCTACGCGTTTGACGTTCTCTTTGTGTAACGATCTCCAAACAAGCGGCAAGGAGCTCAGCGGCTCCTTCCCTAACAATTACGCGTTGATCCCGAAGAGGGACAAGGATAGTGTCAAACACAGTCCCAATGTGGGAGTGAAAGTAGGTTGGACTGTTGCGGGCCAACTCTTTGAGAATGAGGACACCGGCGTATCGGGGCGAGTCTGGTTTATCTGGCTGCATCAACTCGATGGCCGCAGGAACTTCATAGTCCATGAATCGCTCGCCAAAAGCAGCCCCCCCAATCTCGGCAATTTGTCCGAGTGTTTTCGAAGCAGCAAGCATGAGATTGACGTCGTGGCTAGAAAATAGGTGCTTGACATAGTTGTAGAATCGAAAGAGGTTTCGTTTGGACTCAATAGTCTCCTCTCCGTCAACATCAAGTAGATGGTCTATTTGGGATAAGTTTATCTACCTGCGGAAGATGGGTACCACGCACCAATGGCTAATAGCCCACCAAATGCTTCGACAGTATTTTGGCTATGTGTTAACTCGAAGAGACGACGGTTGATGTTATCGTCCCAAAGTTTGGCTGCGGCATCAGATGTCATCTCAGCTACAGCTGTTGAGACCTGAATGAATTCGTAAGCTTTAGACATGCTTGGATACATGTCAGCTAGAAGGCCCACATAACATCGCAACTCCAATGCAGATTGCAATCGTGTTTCGGCATTTTTATTCTTGAGCCCTTGAAATATATGAGTAAGAACGTCGGTTTGAGCATTCTGCACCGTTGATGCCATTTCGGGCAAACAGACAGAGAAACCCGGTGTGGTCAACAATTGAGCGGCTCTGGTCTCTGACTCCAAGCCCTGCAATGCCAGTGGTTGTTTCTGATTGTCTTTGGCGCCATCGTCATCGAGACATATTGACCCACAACAACACTCTCATTGACGTTTTCCTAGCACCACGCCTGCATTCTGCAGTTATCGGCCTGATGGTCTAGTAGTATGATTCCTTGTTAGGGCGATATACGCACATCGAGGAGGTCCCGGGTTCAATTCCCGGTCAGGCCCAGTGGTTACATATAATTTTGCCTCCTGCAACAAACTCTACTACATGTATCATATTAGGGTCTCCCATCATCTGCTTGATCCTGATGATTTGCAGTTCACGGGGAAATCGCAGAAGCCTCTGATTCAACCACCTCAGGATAATATGCGTATGCCTTGGTGTTGGTAGGGACCCCAGGTACACTGCTATTGCTGCGCACACAGCCACTACAGCATCCAATTGTATAACAACTTGGAAGTACAGTCCAACCTGGCCATCCGCACCTGTCCTATATGATCACTCCTACTCCCAAAGAACATCCGCCACCGTATAGTCCAGATGGACCGGGGCCATCAGGTCCCCAGCTGGGACATGCATCCCCCGGGCCGTCTGTTAGCCAAATTCACATCCGAAATCGCAAAGAAGATATCGCAGGTATGTCTTTGCTGTGTCCTGCATATATAGCTGCAGTCACGAGTGTTTTCTTCCAGGAACCTTCTATGTTGACCCGCAAATTCCCTCCTTGAATATTCCCAAAAAGCTGAAGTCGCGAAAAGGATCTGTCCCACACGCATCCTTTCGCACCCGGGAGGGGTCAATTGCCTTAAACCTAGCTACAACTGGGAAAAAAGGAAAGGCAATTGTTCACGTTTCTAGCCGGACAGGCAATATCCACTTGAATGTGGTAAGTCGCTTCCCGTTTCATTGTGAATTGACAATAATCTACTTGTAGCTTTCTTCATCAGCCGCAGGCCCTTGCATTGACCTTGACATCTATTCGCGACGTGGTATGTCACTATGATTGGAATGCTGGAAACAATCCATCTGAACGCAGTCTCAACAGGCAACATTGTCCTATTCATCCCGAAAACATTTGTTGGTGTTGTGCAGTTGCATACCAAGAAAGGCCATTTGGAGTTTCTCCCTGCATTTGCATCGATAACGAAGACATTGAAAAGCACAGAAACCGAGAGTCTAGTGTTGATGGGGCAAAACTCCTCGGACACCGCAGACTTCTGTCAGCTCACCTCCGTCCTCGGCAAGGTTACTATTGGTATAGCTGGGGAGGATCAACTCTCTGTCCCCCAGCCTGGATTTTGGAAGAAATTTAAGGAGTTTTTCCAGTAGCTAGTTCTACTCATAACTTGGTGTGATTTGAGTGTTGTGGATCCGGACCGGTATGATATCTCCAGAACAATTTTCTTACTTATGGACATTAGAAGGGCTGGATGATTGGAGTTTGATGCGAGGCTCTGTTCTATTTTGGCGTGAATAGATCTCGCGATGCACTTCTTGCGTGTGCTCCAAATTCCCACCACAAGTCCCCCTCTGGATCCGGAGAGATACCAATTGTATCATGGTGAAACTTTGATTATTTAATCCCGATCCTCACGGGGTGCTTGAGCGATGTCCCGCATCACGGTGTCAACTTGAATCCCATCTGGCCGTAAAAATATGATCAGGGTTGTGGGATTGATCTCTTGCACTCCCTACTTCCTGAACCTCATTATTCCACTTGAATGTCTCACAACGAAACTCGAGCGGGGTGCTTTTCTGGCTTTTGGGGCATTGGACGACGGCGATCCCAGACGCTGTCTCTACAAACTAATAGTGCGGAGAGCGGCAGGCCTCCCAAATACCTAGTGGCACTGCCGCCCAAATCCAGCGCCGAGGTAGGTCGAACTCCCCGGCAGAACGTGCAATTAACGCAATCAAAAAGCCTCAGTGCCATTACCATAGTCCGTTCTGTGACTTCGCGCCTAGCGGGAAAGAATCCGAATGGTGGCTAGAGACTCAACACCTACCCCCATATGCCCCATTAGATTCAAGTGGAATATTTAGACCGGAGGTCCTACAAACAATTGAGAACAAGCTAGATGAACTTGATCCGGAACTCCGGAGACTCAGTTTATTCATTCATGGTATTGGATAGGCCTTCTCATGCAGGTGTAGTTTACTTATTGTCGCAGGCCATCCAGAATTGATGTTCAAAGAGAGGTGGAAAATGGACTTTAATATATGTATATGCCTGCTGACGAGAAGTGTAGGATTGCACATGACTATCTGACAAAATTTATGTCAGAACATGGCTTCAAAGTCACTCGGCAGTATCTCGGGCTGGAGACCGCCTGGCGCGCTGAGTTCAAACAAGGCAAAGGAGGTCGAGTCTTGGGCATAAACTCAGAGATGGATGCGCTGCAGGGTATTGGGCACGCCTGCGGCCATAACCTTATCGCAATGAGTGGGGTTGGCGTCGCCATCGCTGTGAAAGCTGCATTACAGACGTATGGAGTCCCTGGCAGCGTAGTCCTTCTCGGAACACCTGGTAATGTAAAAAAATTCAAGTCGGCACAGTATATACTTACGTCCCCCCAGCGGAAGAAGGTGGGGAGGGAAGATATTGTTACTCGAGCGTGGAGGCTATAAGAACATGGACGCATGTCTTATGTAGGTATTATCTAATTTATCATCCAAATCATACTTACCAATAACACAGGTGTCATCCTGGCCCTGGTCCCCCTCATTCCACAAGTGCTGGGAGCACAACGGCAATGCAGGCGATCGACGTTGAATATTTCGGGCGCAGGCTAGTTTCACTTTATTGGTTGTTCCGTTTTGAATTGTCTGAACTCATCGTATCTAGTGCGCACGCCGGAGCTGCACCCTGGTATGGTGATCATTCTTGTCAATTCGCTGCATACCTATTGGTTATTTCTACAGGGATGGAAACAATGCTTTGGATGCGGCTTTTCTGGCTTATTCAAGTATCTCAGTTCTGCGCCAGCAGATGAAGCCCGACCATAGAGTGCATGGAATTGTCCAAGGACGAAATTGGGCGGTGAATGGTTGGGCCATTCCCCCATGGTGTTACCTACGACTAACAGCATGTCAACAGTTATTCCTGATTATGCTATGATGCGCTGGTGTGTCCGAGCGCCATCTTATGCCGAATTAGCCGCTTTTGTTCAGAGGGTCAGGGCCTGCTTTGAGTAATTACCTTTCTTCTCTATAACCGCTGGTGCTTGATCCTAGTTTTTTGCAGAGCCGCTGCCCTGGCCACATCTTGCGACTTGAAAATTAAAACCGAACTCCCATATTTTGACCTCCATCAGAATCCTATTTTAGGTGGGTGCGGATGGCCTTGGTATATTACAATAGGAAAAGCTAACTTATGGGAATGCAGCAACAGGATACGCTAACACTGTAGAGCGTCGCTATGGGCTACTCACTTCCAGCGCTGGCACATCGGCTTCCACGGACTTTGTAGGTTTCCTCTCTCCTAAAACATCCCAAGAAACTAATTCCCCTTCAGGGAAATGTATCTTATGGTTCGCAAGCTTCCTTCGCACTTCATACTTGATTGTCTTATCGTATCATCAGAAATGCCTGCACTACACCCTTCCTATGGTCAATTTACTAATTGTATTTCCGCCGTTGGCTTCTGACGTATACAACTAGCTATTCCAACAAAGCCCCAGGGTGGAAATCATACACCTGCATTCGCAGATGCCGCGGCGACACAGGCGGCACATGATGCTACAATGATTGTTACAAAAGGCCTTGCGCATACGGGATTTCGTATCCTTGATGACACAACATTTTTCCAGGAGGTAAGTGGCTAATTATTATTTGTTCTACTCACTTATTTTTCCGCATTTATGGATTTATTGGGGTAGATGCGACAAGCTTTCGACGACGCAAAATTAGAAAAGCCTTACACTTGATCGAAGCTTGATCCACCTAATGCACCAGGGCTCAGATTGAAGGCTCCCACCACACATTTATAAGCCACCTTATCATTCTTGAAATTTTGCCTCCCTCTTCTTGTCTCACTGTTGGGTCAAAACCCACTTGGTTGTAAATATTAGGCATCCGTGAGTAAAGAAATTTGTTGGGGGTGTTGGGATGTATGTTATGTGTTATATATGTATATATATCGAGTAGGGTATTATATTGTGTCCTCCAAGTTGAACCTGGTCCAGATATTGTTATACTGAAGGGGCGGCAGCGGGATTCGTAGAAATTTTTTCTTTCTCTTTCTCTTTCTCTTTCTCTTTCTCGTGTTCTTTTTCTTTCTCTTCTGCCTCTCGCTGGGCTCGTAACATCTCTTCCCGTTTGGCCTTCATAGCACGCGTAGCGGATTGTTTTGATTTAGGAGCAGCGGCTTCTGCGACCATGCTTTGGATTCCATGGGGCAGAGAATAGATTAGATATGGAACTTGTGGGAATCATGAGGGACTAACCGTTCCAGCTCCCGCCGCTCCTCATCCGATTCATCTGGCTGTGCAGACTTGAAGATCATCCCCGTCAGCATCAACCCCTGGGCGTAAAATTAGTTATTAAGGGAGGAGGGACAGGCCGAAAAATAATAGGACGTCGGATGCACAATCTTACCTTTGCGCGTGCAATAAGCACCTCGTCTGACACACCCGGTTCCTTGAGTACCATATCGATGGCCTATCACATAAAATGAGTACAATGCACTGGCAGTGGTTGTATCCAACATGCCTCCCGCAGAACTTGAATAACCTCAAGCCTTGCACCACGCCATGAAGCTAGCATGATCTATGGGTTCAAAATGTGAATAAGACAAGGTTTGGTGGGAAAAAATGGATATAGAATATACCTTGCCTGTGATATCCATCTCCAATGCCCTCAACTCTTCCTCCGCAACCTCACCCTTTGCTTGTAGTTTATCCATTTCCTATCATTACGTCAGAAATGAGCATATAACTAGGGTAGAGCAAAGGAGATTTACCATCATAACATCTCTCACGCTTAGCCTAGCAGGGGATTGATGTCAGTCATAAAAAACCAGAATAGGAAAGAGGGGAGTGAAGCTGTGGTAGCAGCCCGGGAATGTCCCATGTCTAAGGGTGAAATTTAAAGCAGGAAACACTCACGCGCTTCCAATAACCCCCCAGACATCCTTCGCCAAGGCACCCTTTTCCTTCAACCTCGAAAAGAACCCAGGTATGCCCAGGAATTTACGCGATTTGAGAAAAGAGGTTGACTTCATCAT